AATATAATAATAATAATAATAATAATAATAATAATAATAATAATAATAATAATGATAATAATAATAATTATTATTGTAATAAAGTGGTGACTGTGACTCACCTCGCGTGGACGAATGATTCATGAGAATCGCCAGGGGACACTCGTCATCGTCGAGAATGTATTCCTGATGCGCGTTTCCGTTCGCATTTTCTCCGTTGACCTGCAAATGAAACAGAGAGACCCTCGTTAACGCCACATTTTATCTTTGTGACTCACGCATCATTTTTTTTTCCTCCCNGAATTTATTACTATACCGCGGTGCTGCTCGTACATTATAAATAATTTTTGTTATTTTATTTGATGCACCCCACGCAAACGCAACTACTGTATACATAAAGTGTTACACATTGCGTGTACATGTTGGCAGGTGTTACTCACCCCCATTCTCGTGGATCTCGTAGAGGGCGTACTCGGGCACGGAGAGCATCCGCATGTCCGGGCGGAACTTCTCGATGAGCGTCTCGATGACAGCCTGCGTCGTCGCGTCTGAGGCGACTCTTATGCACTTGGTCGCAACCTTCTGGCCGCTGTCTTGAAAGTAAAAGCGCATGACCCCGTGAAACTCGAGATCCTACGTCAGACAAACACAAGCGCCAACATTACATTAGACAACATAAATGAATTACACGTGTGAATGCCTGCCTGTATATAAATATAATATTATATACACAATGTGATATTACGATTACCATTCTATATGCGCAGCAGTCGAGATATAGGTGCACAAAGATTAATTATTTGAAACACGGAGGGGCAACTTGCAAGCTCGTTACTCCAAGTCTGGGGGGCCTAATATTATCATGACTTTCGACACCCCGAGGAACGAAGCAGTTTGTTCAATGATTTCTATGAAACAATGGGTTGAGAGCACGTCCAAAATAATGCTTGGCCCCCTTTTGCGAGATGTATCGAAAGTCGTGATAAATGACCCCTGATACACGAGCCTCCCGACATTTCCGGACATTTCAATGAATCGATCTTCTCCGATGTTTCCTCTCCTCGACTGCAGCAGTGCTGTTCGTTTTTTTCTTTCACGGTGTTTTTAGTGCCAAAGAAATCAACGTAATGAGAGTTCGGGGGTCAAGTTTGCTTTGACGTTGCCTGTCCCGCGCGTTGCTGCTGTTATTGTGCCGTTTGCAATGTCCAGGTACACACACTCGATCAGCAGCAGCAACCCCCGAGACTTGCAGGGGCTCGAGAGGTAAGCTACCCGTGCGTGTGTACCGTACATAAAAGTTTTGTCGATTTATTTTTCGCTGGTCGGTCGCTCACCCACCACCACTTTGCTCTCTAGACCACCAGCGAGCGACAACAGCGCGAACTCGATACTTTTCCGGGTTGTTTGTTGCTGTTGCCCGAGATGCTAGCGGGTGCTCCGATTAAAACAAAAACTTGAAAAGTTTGTAGCGAACATACAGCGCAAAATATGCACATATTCATGATTTATGCTCAGAGCAACAGAGAGCCATTAATTTATTCCGCCAGTAGAAAGATACGCTGCTGCGCGGGCGTTCATCAACCCCCATCCCCCCCTCCCTTTTTTTTCTTTAATGCTTATTTTTCACTCTTGACTTTTGCCTATACCTACCTATTACGTGTTTATAAATGTATACATACGTATAAATATATAAATATAAAAATACACACACATGCACGGTTACTGTTTACAGCTTACCCATAAATTATGTAAATACTTTTACAAGTATATAGAGACAGATAAGTATAATCATAGCCAATTATTACATTGATGCACGAGTATTTGAAAAACGAGAGATGAGAGGATTGTTTGTAACATAAGGGGATCAAGCGAGTACATGCAAGTAAGTAAGTACGTACAATTGTATATAATGTACTTATTTATAAGTCGACAACATGACTCACCTCGTTTGGCTCCGAGAGCTCGAATAGGTCCAGCCTGTTGGCGTTCCATTGTTGGATGACGCCTCGCAGTGCCTCGCGCTCTGCCTTCTTGCTCGCCGCCTCTGCAGCCATTCTGCAATCAATCCAAACATACACCAATCGTTAGTAACCACGAGCATCTTATACATTTCCCGGAATATAATTAATTGCCCTATTTTATTCATACAATGCCTATATTGTTGTATGTGCGTGTGTACTGCGTGACTCGTATATGTATCGAGATGAGTGATGGGTACGCAATGCCGTCGTCGGTGGGAAATTATTATTGCTGAGATAATAGGACGTGCTTAGCGGCCAAATCTGCCGTGCCACGGGTTAATAATATTATGTGATCCTACATCTTTTATACTTAAATATAATGTTTCACCCTCGTGTAAAATAATACGTTACATTTGTTGCTGATGCAACGTAACTACTATTATTATTATTATTATTTTCATTTTTTTGCACGCGCGACATAAACGTATTATCTGAGACTTGTATGAAAAAAAAGTTAAAAATTTTTATTGTAAGATGATGAAAGTGCCCTAGTTGTCTTACTAATAATAATAATAATAATAATAATATATATTATACAGTAACAGAGTCAGCTATACACACCTAATATATACTGTCGATGATGTAACTACATATACCTATACCCGTGGACAAGAACATCAGGAGATCTGATGTAACGTTTAATTGTGCAACAGGTATGGATATAGAGCCCACATATTAATAAATTGACGTGCGATTGACTTGTCGAAAAAAGAAAAGAGGATATATTTATATTTAAGCGACAATTTTATATATACTTTAGTTACTGCTATATGTGTATGTGCTACTATCTAATTAGAAATACGTGTGTGTGTGAGTACGTATGTATGTATGTATACTAGACGGACGGATATTCGAGACCCCTACAGCATAAGGACCTTGTGTTGTAGGGATCGCGAACATAAATATATATATTTTTTTTCTATATTATAGTGTTCTACGTCCGGCTCCTTTAATAAAGGCACTACTATGGGCACTTAGCACTTGGGAGAAGGAGGGGAAGAGGCCCGCCACCCTCGCCGTACCTATTCCTCTCTATACGTACAACAAATTTTCACTCTCAACTTCCGCATTATACGTATGCAGTGTTGCAGTACCTCTATACGCATATGACCAATTACATTATATATATTCCCAGTCCTGTTGACCTTATGAACGACGTATACCTATTTATACTATAGCACGTTGTTACACACACAAGTAATTGTACTGCAGAAT